AAATAAATCTTAAAAAAAAAAAAAGTTGGGCCTCCCTGGTGGTGCAGGCAGTTGAGCCCAGCACTGTGAAGCTGGCTGCAGCCTCTGCAGCGCGGGTTCAAACCCAGCCGGACAGCGAGAACCCCACATGACGAAGCAGACCTCTCCTCTCCTGCCTCGCCTGCTGCTCCCCTCAGCAGTGTATTTCAGTCCTTCTGCCTGTTCTGCTCCCTGCTCTACCTCTGGTGAATCCTCTCACCCTCCCGCGCATCTGGCCTATACCCTGGTTCTTGTATAAATAAATAAATCTTTTTTTAAAAAAATGTTAATTTATCTTCCACTCAGCCCCTTTTCCAATGGTTTGGACCCAGAGCAATGCTATGGGTAGTAATGTCAAATACTGATACTTTGGAAGGAATATTTTGTTCCTTTTTTTCTCTCATACAACCTGGCTTTTTTATTCATTATTTATCGTGTGCCTTCTATGGCCCCGACAGAGGGGATCTGGGATCTCAGTGATTAAGAGAGAATAATTCTTAACTTCATGAACTTTATGTTCTAGTATTGTAGACAGACAAAAATAAACTTTGAAAAGGCTGATTGTTGTTACAAGAGGCTGAGTGCTGTGAGGAAACCATATATCAGATTAGGAGGGAGGGAGGTGCCGGGCTAGAGGAGAATTTGAAGATTGGTTCCAGTGTTACCAAGCAGACACCGTAAAGGGCTGCAGGAAGAAGGAACCTCTTTCTGTGCTAAGAGGCTCAAGAGCACTGGATTTAAGGAGAAACGTGGAGCTGTTGGTGGGCGGGTCTTAACTCATAGGGCTGCGTGGATGGGGAGCTCCTGAAAGGAGGCGGGTAGAGAAGGGACATGATCTCCCCTGAGGCCCAGCAATGCCTCCAGCTGCATATCCGACAAAGAGGCCTAGTCGAAGTTGGAAGTGCTCAGACCTCAGACCAAAGAGAACGTTAATTCAACAATGTGGGCAAGACACAATGATGGTTCCCAACCATAGCAGTGAAACCAGTGAGAGAGAATCTCATTCTTGATATATCTGAAGTCCTGGACATGTCTGAGAAAAATGAAAAATGAAAGCTCTTGGCCTGAGCAATGAAAACCAGTCATTTTTTTAAAAAGATTTATTTATTTATACAAGAACTGGGGTATAGGCAAGAGGCGTGGGGGGTGAGAGGACTCACCAGAGACAAAGTGGGGAACAGAACAGGCAGACTGACTGAAACACACTGCTGAGGGGAGCAGCGGGCGAGCCAGGAGAGGTCTGCTGCGCCATGTGGGATGCTCCCTGGCCAGCAGGGGATCGAACTCATGCTGCAGAGGCTGCGGACAGCCTTATAGGCTGCGTCTTAACCCCTTGCACCACCAGGAGGCCCAGAGTCATTATTAATGGACCCAGGGAAGATTATAGATGGAGAGGGTTTTACAGGGCAAGAACAGCAAGTTGTTTTGATGCGTGCAATTTGAGATGTCTGCTGGACATCTGAGCGGAGGTGACAGGTGGTGACAGGGCAGTTTCTAGCATGTGGCAGAATAGTAAGGGCCAGGAAAATAAAACTGGGAGTTGACAGCATGAAATTATGAGGTCACCAAGGGAATGTGAGTGGACAAAGAAGAGAGCCCAGGACTACTTAGCCCTGGGACACCCTCAAGAGGTTGGAAGAGATGCAGACAGGAGCAAAGGAGACCAAGACAACAGGTCCACAAGAACCAAAAGAAAACCAAGACTCCGAGCTCTGCAGGTGAGTGTGCCAGGGAGGAGCCCGATGGTGTGTGGCCAGCTCTGGCCAGAGAGTGCAGGTAGGGCTGAGCAGAGATGCGCCATTGGCTTTTATGTGACATTAATGGTAGCCTCGGCAACAGCAGTTTCCGCTAAAAGACAGGGTAACATGGATGGAGCTGGAAGGGATGACGCTCAGCAATATAAGTCAGAAGGAAAAAGAAAACTATCGGATGGTTTAATTTATAGGTGGGATAGACCATAGATCTGTGGCAAGCTGACTATAGATGTGAGGCATCCAGCAGGGGAAGGCGAGAAAAGGGGGTCAAAACAGAGGAGAGAAGAGCACAGGGGACTGAGGTGATGGTCATGGGTGATATGGTGGTGGGAGAACTATGGGAACCACACCTGAGGGGAGAAACCAAACATTGTCCAAAATTAACGAGATGTAGAGGGAGAACGAAAAGATGGAGGCAAAAGACAGACTGGAGTACATTCAGGAAAGGAAGGAAGTAAGGCCTGGAGACCAGTGTGGAAAACTCAAGCACCTTCCCAGAGAGGAAAAATGGAGTGGCAGTTGGCAAGGAAAATGGAGGGACAGTGACATAATTTGGGAAGACCTGTCCAGGTGTGCTTGCTGCTAGACCCAATGGAGAGAGAACTGACAGCGTGAGAAGAATGTGGGAGCAGCATCCAAGAAGGGGTGAGGGAAGCCGAGACAGTGAGCGGAGGAGCCAATGGGCCAAGGACCGTGTGGCCAGGGGCAGGGCAGGGGCCCAGGTGCTGTGGACTGCCAGGTCTTTCTCACTGGGGCTCCCACACTTACAGAGGCGTGGTCATGGGACACACCGTGATTTTCTTGGGACGTAGGAAAGAGGTCAGCACTTGGCACCCAGGACAAGAGAGGAGATGCTGCGGTGGAAGGCAGTCAGCTCAAGGCCAGTTCCCACTTATGTAACTGACCCGTGGCTAATTGGCACACGCCAGCGTTAAGTTCCTATGGTGCATTCCCAGTCACAAAACATCACTGAACCCCTAAAAAAATCCCACAGTTCTAATACTCAACAACCATTTGTATTCATCTCCCAACTGCTTATTCCAGCTTGGGCAGTGCTGGGCAGTGTGGGCAGCCTGGGGTCAGGGTGAACTCCCACCAGGGCAGGACACCCTTCCACTACAGGAACACGCACACCCTTGTTCCTTCACTCCCCTGGGACCGCAGAGGCACAGAGTGAAACTTACCTGCGCATTTTTGGACATGGGGGGAATGTCCCAATGGGAGCTCACATGGACAGGGAGAACGTGCCAGCTCCACCCAGGCAGCAGTCCCGCCTGGAGCAGGTTTTTCTCATTGATGTGCCAAGGAAATGACATTTACGCTACTCAAGGGCCTGCTGTAGTGAGTTGAAAGTGAGGCCTGTTGGCATAGCTGTTGATTTTGTGCAGCTACATGGGTGCAGGAGAGGACAGGTGAGACCTTGAAGAGCTGAGGGACAAGCTACTCACATCTCCAAAACCGGTCTCCTTACCTGAAAGTCTGAGGGCGCCATCAGAAGCTCAGGTGAGGTCACGGCTTTACCTACACAGAGAGGCTTCACACAGGTCAGAGCACTGAGGTGCTTCTCCAGAGAGGGTTCCCATCAGCATCATCTGGGAATTTCTGAAACTACAATAAATACCACTTTTGAGGGTGAGGCCAGAACATGGCATTGGTTACTTCTCCCAGGTGATGCTAACGTGTAGGCAAGGCTGCAAACAGTGGTGTTAACTAAATGGTGCTGCGTGTCCCTCTTGCAGGGACCAGAGGTTATAAATAGTATAATCAGGCACTTGTAATCAGTTGTCTGTGACAAAGCCTTTCCCCTGTGAGCTTGTTACTCAGAAAGTGGTTTGAAGAGCATCCACCTTACCTGTGACCCTGTGAGAACTGAATCACCACAGAACTTCTAATCACAAAGTAGTTTCACAAGCTCCTCGGGTGGTTCCTGGGTACCAGAGACTTCCAGAAGCTTCAGATCAAGCTAGGCTGGTTTCTATTTCCTCTCTGGTTCAAGGTTGCTTCTGACAAGTTGCCAAGGACAATATTGATTTTTAAATTGACACCAACTGCTTGCAAGGATCAATGAATAAACTACTAGTTAGTTGTGTGAGGCCTGAAAAAGGTAATGAACTAAAAAGCATTAGCTCTAGAAGTGTTTGACTCATGAAATCATACCAAAAGTCTCTCAGGATTCCTTTTGAGGGGGATGTTTTATCTTCTAAACCACAAGGCATAAGCTGGTGATGGTGGCCAGGGAGATGCTGGTAAACTAAAAGCAATTATCACAGGGCTTTGTGGTCACATACACTTCTTGTAATGACCTTAGGAGTTTACTGCTGGGTTTCAGGTGAGTTGTATAAGGTCACAGAACAGGTAACAGATGGACAAAGATTCAAACCAGCTCCCCCAACTTCTGCGCCTATGGTTGTTTCACATTCTAAGGCTGAATGTGTTGGCAAATCCCATAACCTTGGGAAACAGTCACCTAGAGAACAAAGTCACACTGTTTTACTGGTTCCTGGAGATGTGACCTTAGAGTTATCAGAGAGAAGTTCCCAGAAACCTGGCTTGGGTGGCCAGCTTCACTCTTGAAAGACTTAACCAGGTTTGGGGGTACAGCAGGTGGGAAGTGCCCTACTGGAGTAACTTTTTTTGAGTCAACAAATTGAACTAAACAGATATAATCCTAGGTGAAATAACACCTAAGACTCTGGAATTCATTGAAGGATGTATTTATTTACAAGATACAAATGTTTTAATATTTAATAGGAATTAAAGTGCTTAATTTTACAATGTTTCCAATTCTCTGCCTCTATGGCCAAATATACATATGTTACACAATATATACACTATCTGCAAGTATTTTACATTCATATAGCTAGAAAAGAAAAATTATTTTTTGTGTATACTTTTTCACATTTGAATCAACTCTAAAATTCTGACCACACACTTTTCAAACTGATCAGTCAACAATTCAGATATCCAGATAACACTTATTCAAAAATATCAGTCAATTGTCACTCACAGAATGAAATGCTAGTTTGGAAAACAAATTTTTTATATACAGACATGATTGCTAATGAAGGGAGACCTCCCCACAAAGCGATACATTCCAACATCCATATAATGTGTAATATATAATGCAATTCTGTTATTATAGTGGCCTTTATAGACTATTGTTTCATCCCAAACATATATATATATATAGACATATATATATATATATATATATATATATATAGCTATCACTCTATGTATTTGGTATTCACTTATTAAAATATGCTACAATGAGATTTCCTGATTTAAATTTTTCACTAAATCTACCCAAATGAACTGTAGGTAGGAGAGACCATTATGTAACTCTCAGTGACCCCAAAAGTTAAAACTATCTTGTAGAAGACATGTGCTACTTCATGTTGATTCCCAGGAAAGACACCGCATTCTTGCCAAGGAGATCAGGGTTGACATTACAGGGACTTTTTTAAAATCTCAGTCATCAGTGCAGAAAATGGTCAAAGAGAATGTTTTTCAAGCCTAAAGGAAAAAAGAAAGTATGACAAGATACCAATGGTATCAGAGGCCAAGGGAAAAGGCCTGGATGCAATGGATTCCATCAGTATGTAATTATATAGAATTCTATGTGAGAGTTTATACCCTTCTGCAGTTGAAGTATTTCTCTCTTAATGTACATTCCTCTGATCTGGAGACCAGCAGATGGACTGGACTTTCTGTCCATCTCTTTGCTCTTGCTTGTTTCAGTTCCAAATCTTATTCCTCTCTACTGTAACAGCAAAGACAGCAAAACTATCTTCCCACGATGGCATGATTATAGGGCATACATAAGAATGAATTATACTAAAAATCTGTGAAATAATATGTGTTAAATATTTCAATTAGAAGAGTTTCTATAAAAATTTCATTCCCAGGAAAAAACAATTGGAAATCAACAATGTTTTTACATATATACATATATGCAGAAATTCACAGGAGGGGTTTTTAAAGTAGATTTAGTGGTCTTTATATATCATACTCATAGCTTCTAAATCTGGAGACTTTATAGTAGGTAGTAATATGAAAATAAAAAGTGATTGGATTCTACTACCACCGGATAAGAATGAAGAAGTGATACAGATGTCAATATAGTCTTAAGAATAAGAACTGGGTAGCCAGTTTTAATATTCATACATTCTGGAAGAATATAAGATTTAAGAATGAACACATTAAGACATTTTTGCCTTCTGAACTAACTTTAGCTTATAAATACCATGTGCTTAATCTTAGACCCATCTGACGCAGAAATCATGTGACGTGGACATTGTAATTAGTTTTCCATTCTGTGCTAGAGGCAAAAAATAAGGTCTTTGTTCCCTAGAATTTATCTGCTCTTCTATTGCCTGCTCTTCAGGATTGATCGGATCCAGAAAGATTATTAGCGTTACCACAGACGATATGCTTGCAATAAGAACACAAGGCTTTTGAATGTAACCAGAAATCACACTAAAATTTTGAAAGGAAAACAACATACCCTGTTGCCACAAGTAGACAAAAGTAAAACAGAATTGTGAACTGACAGAGGTATTTTGGATGAAAGGTTTTTAGAAGGCATCAATGAATCTTTAACAGCCCTGCAGTTCGATGGAGTTTGTAGTCTTTATAGATTTAAAAGTGAGTATTCTTTTAAAAAATCCAAATGTGTATCTTTATGTGGGGACAGGGTATATTGAAAAGGTTAGTTCTTATAAAAGTCTGGTCATTTTTGTGACTTAGGGAACCTCACCTACCAGTGGTGGTAAGTGCACCAGCCCATGTGTTGCACTAAACTTCATGGGAAAGGAAACACAGATGAGCTTCCCATCGCGACCCATGCACTTTGCAAAAGTAAAAATGCTTTTGATACTTGAGTCCAAGGAATAACACCTCTCCCCACATTGCTCTATGCCCAACAAGGTGAATCTCATCAGTATCACTTCTAGAAGCTCTACATCCATGTGGCTAGGGGGGGTCGTATTAAAATATCAGTATAAAAACATACCCTGAAGAGTTTTATTGCTTGCATACATGATGGCATTGCAGATGCCGTGAGTACAAAAGTGGCTGGTGGCAATTTCATTTCTGAGTCCCACTTCCAACTTGGCACTAAGCCTGTATTATGCCAAGCAGCAAACTTTCAACAAAAGCAAAACTTAGGTCTAAAAGACTGGAATGCTTTGTACTGAATAGTAATTTTTATCCAATATGCCCTTTTATGTTTGTAGGAAGGGCACATTAAAGAATGGATGAGTTGGAGGATACCAAATGAGAGGAAGTAATGAGTGAGACTCATCCAGAGTCTCACTTTGGTTGGGTAGGAAAGCAACCAATTGTTATTTTTTAGATCCATTGTATCTTGTCTGGTCAGACAGCAGAAGACATGGATTCTGTCACCAATCACACCTGAGGTCTTCTGGTTGAGGTGGGTATTTACCGAAAGGCTGAGTAGAGTGTTTCTCTATGTTTCTCCAGGTACAAGCATTACTGACTCTTTAAGAAGGGAGAAACAGGTAAGGCTGCCTGGGTCCTTCTCTCTGTGCTTGGCTAAGAAAAAGGGTGGGGCGTGAAGACGGGGCTGGGTAACCAGATTCTCTTCCAGCACTGATTTTTCTACCTTGGTTTTGAAGAATAAAAGATGACGTCCAAAGAGCAGGACACTACTCTCTTTCGGTGGGTCTTCTTTCACTAGCTTGGATTTAATAGCATTGATGTTGATGAGCTTGTGTGCATGTCCCTTGCATTCCAGGAGAACCTAAGGGTGGGGAAAGTGTCATCTCCTCACTATTCAAAACAGCTTTGGAATATACTCTGGCCTGTACAGGTCTCATTGGCCTTGTGCTCCAGCTGTTCCACCACATTCACAAAAGCCACTTTCCCCAACAGTCACTTGGTACTTTCATTGCTTCTCTTTTCTTGAGATTATTAATAGCTATTACTGGATTGCAGTCACGATCCCTCAACATGTACAGATGTGCACACACACACAGAAACACATGACAGGGGACAAGGGGAGAGAAACGAAGGGTCACCTACTTGCCTGGCCCCCACGAAGGGACCTTGGCATCTTTTTGGCTGCATGCGTTTGCTGTGACCTGAGTGATGACAGCTGGACGGGAATCAGGTCAGTCATGACTGCTTTGCCTTCTCCTTCGTGGGGGAGGGGAAGGGAGCTATTTCAACTCTTTCTTAAAACAACAGGCTCTGAATCAGTGGGTGGTCATTTCAAATTCTGAGTGGATCTAGTCTCCATTCAGGGTGTGATTTTCAAAAGTCAAGGACAGGGAGTCGTATGCGTGCATTTCTAAAGCGCTAGTAGTGATAATGTTTCAGCATGATGGGGTAAAGGAGAAAAAAGATTTAGAGAAAAGGGGTAAGTTAAACAGTTAACTTAGTGTAGGATATTAATCATAACTCTCGCAGAATGAGATGCAGCCTCAGTGACAAGGAATCACATCTTGTTAACAACTGTCCTGTTAAAATTTCCCAGAGGAGAAAATGGGGTCAGAAGCTCAGATTCTCTTCAATCACCTTGGACCTCTGAAAACTGCCTGCGTCCCTGTGTCTCTCCTCTCTCCTCTGGCCAGGTAGTGTACAACTGGACAGAGGCTTCCTTTCACACCTTACGTGTGAACTAGTACTTGAATTTTCTAGGCCCTTAAATGCCAGTGATCCCCGCGAGTCTTGTGCCTCATCCAAGAAAGGAACAACTCTCAGGGTCATCCTCAGTGGTGACTCTACAGCATCCCTAGTACAGCACGCCTGACATTTTTATGGAGAGAAAAGCTTTGCGATCAATGCAGTTTCTGTACGTCCCTGCTTGTTGTAAGGTAGGTGGAGTTCAAGTTTTGGTGAAAGTTCCTGCACCTGCTGGTACTAACTGCAGCAACAGTGGTCAGACTGCAAGGGGGGCCTGGCCAGCCCAGTGACTGAATGGGCTTTATCGCAGGATAATCAAAACGGAAGCATTCATCAGACCCTCACAGGTAATTATTATTAGCACCTTCAGAGACAGGCACAGTTTTCAATAGGCACAGAACGAAAAAATAGTACTTGAAAAATACAGTTGGAATTCACCAAGAGGGCCCATGCCACGCAAGTTACTGCTTTTTCTCATTACAAAAATACCCATACCCTTAGTTGTCAATCAGCTAAACATAAAATCACCAGAAATAGTGAAGTTTAGAACACTACTCAAGATTCCCAGATAAAACATGCTTTATATTTTAAAAATAAATTAGCGACAAATAGAAACCGAAAGCTGAGGAGAAAAGCATGTCAAGCACATACATAGACATTTCTATTGAATACTATTTACATATCGTTGCTATATACTTAAGATTTTTTATTCTTAGGAGTATTTCCACAAAACCAAGTATTATATTTGAACACCAACAATTTGCCCTTCTGCTTTTGTTTCAAAAGAACGGACATTATCAATGCAGCCAGTGCGAGTCAATTAAATAAGTCAAAACATTAACCTAAACTGTCCCTGTATTTGATTTTTTTTAAACCGCGGATCTATTTTGGCAACACGGAGGTATATCCTTCAGACAGTTGCAATCCTACAGTATGTGCAAGAGGAGACACTAGAGTGTTTCTTGAAAGTGGCCTATCCTAACCCAACAGCGAGAGAATCACACACACCCATTTCCTTCAAGACTCAAGAACGGATTCAAGGGGTAGCCCATTAAAAATGCTGCTTTTTCACATTATTCCAGATGTTCATCAGTAGAATGGCTCCACGCATCTGTTTCACGAAGAGTACACAGACACAGCGTGACTGCCCCAAAGACGCATTTCCCAGTCTACGTTTCCGACATAAAGTGCTAAGAGGTGAGTGAGGGGTGCTGGGAGTGTCTCCAGCTCTCCGGGGAGATACCCACACCCAGGCCGGGCTCAGCCCTCGGACTTCCTCTTGGTCTCGGGATGATCATCCAAGGAGGCTGGAGGCTCATCTGGGTCATCTGGAGTCTCACCTGTGACTGCCAGGAAGATGACCTTCAGCCACTTCTGTTTCAGGTCCTCGCTGTCGGCGGCGAAGCTGTGCACGGACTTGGACTGGGTCAGTTTGAAGCTGTGGGGCAGGTCCGCACTCCGGGGCATGTCGTCCACCACATAGCCTAGCAGTGGGATGGTGGCCTGGGCCCTCACGTCCTGGGGAGACAGGGCGTGTCTGGCATGGGATGGGCCACCAGCAGGGTGTGCCTCCTGGCCTGGTGCCCACGACCCTCTCTCCCTACCACCAGCCCATGCTGACCCGTTCCCTGAGACCGTGTCCAGGGCCTGGCCTGTGGCATTGCCAATGTGGGCTGTGCAGGAACGAGGGCTGAGCTTGGCCTCAGGGACTTCCACTGCCTCCCTGGGAGGGAGCCCACTAAGCTACTCGCACAGCACAAAAGGGAAGAAAGTAATAGTCACTGTGTATGTAAACCTGTCATGCTAATAAATGGTGGCCTCATTACCATAGGCAGTTTTATCTGGTGATTCATGCATCTGTTTATTCATGGGCAGGTCAAAAAAGAACAACAGGGTAAAATGTACACCTTGACATCTTCAGTCTACCTCTAAGATAAAAAGGCCCACTAGTCCTTAACTAGATAGACTAGAACATGTCAGGTCCAGGTAGAACTTTACATTCCCAGCTGGCACACATTGCCGTAAGCAGCGTTTGCTTTTTAAGGACAACACGGTCCATGGTGCCTGGTGCTGGTTTGAAGGGGGCCTTGTGGGGCTCTTGTTCCCCTGGTCTCATCTCAGATCCCGCTCCTGGAGTTCTCAAAAAAGATTGTTAACCCAAAACTGAAATTCCCCTACTCTCAAATTCCTTTGACTTTCAGGCAATCCATCCCTTCAAGAAAAAAAGAGACGTAATGTCCCGACCCGCGGGATTCGTAGGCACGAAAAGAGAAGGGCTGAGGATTGAAATGAGGGGCTTGACAACTTGACGCTAGCGTTTGCTTCTTTATTTTTCCTTTTCCTTCTCTTTTACTTTTCCCTATCTTTCTACCTTCCCTGACCTTCTCTCTGCTCCTCTCGCAATAACCTCTCGCAATAACCTCCCGACCTTCTCGTGGTTCTCTTCTTATATCCTGGTAGCTCCTCCCATCGTACCTCCCAGTCTCATTTGATTAATAGGAAACACCTGTGGTTTCTCAGCCGGCAAAACGGTAAAGCGAAAACTAATTAATGGCACGTGTGTTGCGCAACACGGCGCATGCTCCAGGCGGCTCCGGCCAATGTAACACTGTTTTCTATCATAGAACACAGGCTCCTCCTCCTTCTTCCTTCACTCCCTTCTCAGGCCTTCTGCTAATTCAATTCACCATCCCTCAAACCCACTAAATGAGAGCAAGAGAAGGGGTCAAACGACCCACAGGCGACACAGGGATTGGTCCATGGCCTATTCCCCATGTGCTACGAAGCCACACTGGGCGCTGTACGTGCTGTCCCACACAGAGCGGCAGGGGGACAGGAGCCACATCCACCATGTCCTCCCTCCGGCCCTGGCCCCGACCCTGCAGACAGGTGCAGTTAGATACCTGGGGGGCGCCATACATGTACAGCACAAGAGGATCTTGTTTGGGGATCACACACCAAGCTTTCTGCCAAGGCTTGGACTTCTCCATGTACTGAAGAAAGCTGCACACCACACTGTTTCCAGACACTTCTGCTGATTCAATCTAGGAAAATACAGCAGGAGCAGGAGAGGGAGGGAGAGGGGAGGGAGAGAACACAAGATGAACTGGGTTGAGGAGTTCAGCTCAGAGAACACTCACAAAGTATGTGTTTACATGAAATGTCTCCCCGGAATGTCCAAAAAAGGTTCCTTGCAATTGTTACTCAAACGCCCTTGGTCTCGCTCTGTTCCAGCCTGGGAAAAGTCTTAGTGACTTCTACTTTTTGTATTACCAGATCTTGAACTGAAGCAGTGTTGAACACAGAAGTTGCTACTTTCGTTATCTATGAGGCTCAGACAGGAAACAACGGCCCTCCTCAAATCCCACACCAAGGAACCCCAGCTATGACCGGAATCTGGATGCAGGGGCCTTTAAAGCACAATCCACTCCTATGTCACGGACCCATGAATGCAGCAGTGGCAGCCTCGTCCTGGCACCTGAGCTGAGGCGAGCATTTCCCAGCTTCCATCTCTCGGGAGGACCATTCAGAGTTTCCTGCTTTGCCTCCTGATGCCTAAATCACCAGCTAAAGAGGGAATGCAGCCACTGGACAGAGCTGTTTTTAGTCAAACACACGGCAAAGCTGGCTTCTGTTTTCTATAGCTCAGACGCTCGGGGTCTCCCACTTGGGGTCCCCGCTGGGACAGCACAGACTTGGAAGCCATGTAGCCAGGTGGAAGGAGGAGCAGAAAAGCCTACAGCTGCCTGTGTGATGACATCCAGCACATGACATTTGTGTATTTTACAGAAAGACAGAGCTGTGAGGTTTGGAGCGGTTTGGAGATAAAGCAGGGCCTTCACAGAGAGAGTGTAGGAAACTGTGGCTGGGAAATAGCAGCTTGGGGTCACTCTAACCAACTACCTGTTTTTGCATAGACTGTGAGCTAAAAATAATTGGTACAGAAAGAACATCTGAAATTCATTTGATGATCAGCACCAGAGACACTGGGCTCCAGTTAAGTGAAATGTTCTCCTCCTCTTGCCCCAAAGGATTCCATTCTTCTTACCAGCAAATCCAAATTATGAAACATTATATTAAGTTATTCTATTTTGAACCTTGTCAATAAAGACTTGGAGACATTTGTTTTCACTCCTGTTATATAAAGAATAATAGCCCCAGCTCTGCCTCTTGATGGCAAAGACTCAAAGTTTCTCTCTGGCCTTTTACGGGAAAAGTCTGTCGACCTTTGATCTGGAGCTCATAACACAACAGTGAGTCTGTAGAAAACAATGTGTGTGTGTGTGTGTGTGTGTGTGTGTACATGTGTCTTCTGCTTATAGACATATTTACTTGATTAAATGAAATAAACACACATTTGATTGCTTTTCCCCAAATACAGAGAACTAGCTGGAAATTTTGATTTCACAGGGAGAGCCTGAAACTTATGGCTTAAAATGATGATGGCACCACCACATGGGCTGTCCCACCAGCTGCTGCAGGGATGTGAGGCTGTGCTGGGGTGGAGGCCCCTGTCTGCCTAAGAAATCCCACTTTATTCTGCCATATAAGTCATCCACACACACCCCGATGAATTCAGAGTTGTCTGTTAGCTTGTGACCACGTGGCTCAACCTCAGCTAAACCTTGACTTCATGGTGCTTTACCAGTGAACAGAAACGACCATTGTGTGTTTACATGGTGTCGACGCCTGATGAAAACTCAGGGCCCGGGTAAGTCATGCCCGTGACTGTAGTTACATGTTGTGGCCCTCAGGCATCCCCATTCACAGTCTCCAGGCTGTTCTGAACTTTCTGTCACAGAAGCCTTCTGCTGTGACTTATTTTTTTCCACTGTCAATCCCAGGGTGCGAAACTCGTTTTCAGATACAAACTGGCTACAGCTGCCAGCCGTCTCCGGGTCTGGATTTATTCTAAAACAAGTCAAGCTCACTTTGGAGACGTATGAATGATATATTGATGCAGCTATCAGAGTGTGGTCACTGGTAATTAAATGGTAACTTTAATGTGATTGATTGGATGAGGTTTTAGGTAATAATACTTTCATATAAGTTGGAAAAATTTCAGGCAGTGTTTTTTTTTCCAAAGCCAGTATGAGATGAAACTGAGAGAAAAGTGATCCCACTAAAAAATATGTATCTATCCTAATTTGGAAGATTCTGGTGTAGTACCATAAGATACCACCAGAAGCAGCATGTCTCACTAGCAAACACCCAGCAGTAACCCTCTACTTCCTATAAACCAAGTGTGTCCCCCAAAGTCCGCAATGTGAAAGTTCACAAGTTTTGCTGATCATTCCCAAATGGTTAGATATTAAGGAATATAACAACACACACCATTTGCATTCTTTAGGGTTAAAAGACAATTCTCTTTCTGGTGTAAAAATCTAAATACAAATCTAAAAGGCAGCCGATACGTAATATTTCATACCTCTAAAATTCCTTTTCTTTTCTTTTCTTCACTGTCTGTGAACCCACTTATGATCTGAAAGCAGTCTTTACACACTTTGCTCAGTTTGCCTCCGTCGTACTCAAGTTGTGCCTTGTAGTCAGAGCACTTCCAGCATACCACCTGGAAGAAGAAATGACCATGGAGGGTCATAGGGACTCACAGGGCGCCTGAGCCAGGCCGGTCAGAGGTGACAGAAGGTGAGGAAAAGTTAGATGCTTAAGGAGAGTTGGGCCTGAATTAGACCCAAGGCTGCGAGGCTGTAATCTGCCCGCCTACCTCTGCTTCCTGGCCACTGATGGCAGGTGTCTCCAAAGGCAAGGCAGGCCTTTGCTTTTCCCACCTATGGATGTTCCATCAAAACCATTCCCAAATGAATTCATAGCATCTGTGCTCAGTGTACCCCGGACCTGTCCACTCTCTCTTTCTGCCCCCTAACCTACCACCTGAACCTGCTCTCTCCCAAACCCCACAGATTTACTAGCTTACAAAGTCCTGCTATCTTTACTACCTCCATCCATCCATCATCCATGTATTATCCATCCATCATCCATCCATCCATCATCCATCCATCCACCCTCCATCCATCCATCCACCATCCATCCACCCACCCACCCAACCATCCATCCAATCATCCACCCACACATCCACCCACCCATTCATCCATTCACCCGATCATCAATCCATCCATCCATCCATCCATCCTCCACCCATCTATATTTTTTACACCTTTCTGTAGTCACTGGGCTGAGCTGACAATGTCCTCGCATGGACCTTGCAGCTGTGTGACCAGTCCTCCTGGGATTGTCCTCCTGCCCCCAGGTTTCCACTCAAACTCCTGAAAAGCTATCTTCCAAACAGAGCCATGTGCTCTCTTAAAAATGCCAACCTGATGTTTAAACTCCTCCCAAATCTTCCCTTTGCTCTTGGGTAAAAGATAAGTTCTTAAACATGCCCACCAAGTCCTGTCCATCTCGCTCCCCTGGCCCCAGTCTTCAGTCCATTGGTCCTCAGAGCCTGGCAGCACTGAGCCTTTGCCCTCCACCCCTGCCTCTGCTTCTGATCAGCTCGCACTCACCCTATGACACTCACTTGATTTCACTTCCTCAAGGTAGATGTTTCCACTTTCAGTACAGACATCACCTTCTCTCTCTGTGTGACCAAAGGTTCCCTGCACTTTTTCATCCCCAGATTAAAGCTCTTCATCAGATGTTGTGGGATTATTTGATTTGTGTCTGCCATTAGGCAGTAAGCTGCCCACGAGGCTGTGAGCCCACTGAGATACTGCCCCTGCATGAGCCATGGCACAGAAGGGGTGAGAGAGATGAGTTGGAATCAAATACACTGATGCTTTCCTCCCCAGTCAATGAGCAGCGGCAATGCAGGTGCAAGTCATTTCTTAGTGGGTGGCAGTTCTTCCTAATTATAAGATAATTATTTGAAACCTTTCTGATTAAAAATATTCTTGTTTCTAGAAGCATATTTCTCAGAATGGACAAAGTGTATTTAAAAATTATAAACATTCATATAATTTTTGGTTTATATTCAAAACATAAAATTCACCATAAAAATTGTTTTTTCCAAAATTACAGTGAAATTACTCCAGGTTTTAGAATGAGGCATGCCTGCATCTTCAGATTCCTATAGATGGATATTTTATTTTTAAATCATATCAAGGCATTTTGATAATCCACATTCAAATACATTTTTATTGGCTTATTTACTGAAGGTAAGTATGTCAACAACTGGTGTCATTTCAGGAAAACTCAATGATAGGTTTTTAGTCTTAACCAGAGAGAGCAAAAGTGTTTGCTGTTACACTTTGAAATCCGTTTCTGTCTTAGGCCTTCACAAGCCGTTGACGCTCTCCATCAGAGGCACAGCAACTTCAGAAATGCAACTGTGAGGATGACAACGTGCGCTCAGGCTGCTGCATCTTCCAACTTACTCTGGCTCATATCTCCCCACCCCCACTTTCACTCTCAGCTGACAACTCACCCCACTTCAGTGATGTAAAGACACATCAGATTTGAACTCTTTGGTGTCCACCATCAAATCAACAACACACCTCAGCCTAGGCCCACCTCCCCAACATTTCCTTCATAATGGAGGGAGACTCCCCTACTCCCTCAGAAGCTGCAAATCCCTCCATCACTCCGTTTCTCAAAGGCATCAGAGCCCTTGGTTCTGACTCATCCCTCTCACCCCTTCTACGCCATGGCTCATGTTCTTCTGCAGCTGACGTGTCTCTCTCAACATACATCCCTCTGGTCTGGACACTGGCAGCTGGACTGGACTCTCTGTCCACCTCTGTTCATTCTTGCCAGTTTCAGTTCAGAAATTTATTCCCCGTGGGCGCCTGTGATCATGTGGTATGTGGTGTGTGTGTGATGTGTATGGTGTGTGAGTGTAGTGTGTGTGATGTGTGGTGTGTTGTGTATGTGGTGTGGTGTGTGTGAATGTGTGTGTGTGGTATGATTAGTGTGTGTGTTGTGTATGTGGTAGGTACAGTGTGTGTGGTGTGTGTGGTGTGTATGATATGTGCAGTGTATGTGTGTATATGGGGTGTGTGTGTGGTGTGTTTGTGTGCGTGTATAGTGTGTGTGGTATGTGTGGTGTGTGTGTCCACGTGCACACATGGAGAAAATCTCCCTCCTGTGGGTCAGGCATAGAACCTCTGAGTACATGTCATTGGGCACAGCACAGCCCCGGGAGCACACAGCTAAGCTATCCCCTACTTCTGTGCTCTCACCTACAAATACACCCTAAAGGTGCTCTCTACCTCCTTTCCCACCTGAGCTGCCTCTTGCCTATTTGGCATCAGCTTAAACTGGTCTTGCTCTTTCTAACTATGAGTCAGAATCCTCTCATTGCTGTCAAGTTTCCCTGTGAACCCTGTCTGCTTCTAATGTCTGCTTATGCGGGTCTGGCTCTCCAGGAGCATGTGAGCCCTGTAAGCCTGGGAATGTTTTTTTTTTACCATTTTCTTCCAGGATGAAGCCCTGTGTTTTGCACATTGTTGTCATCAAATAAAATCTATAGGTTAAGGGATCTAACAAATGATTCTGTTTCTTCCCAGTCGAAGCTATGCACCTGCCAGGTGCACAGCTGTCCCTGCCCATAACCAAGAAGCCCCACTTACGTGTCCACAGGCCCTGCAGTGGTGCCGCCTCCTAGTCAGTGCATTGAAAGATTCCTTGCATTTCATACACATGGTCACCTCATTATCTCGGATCCACTTGGGGGCCCGCTTGCCTAGCTCGTCAGTCTAAAAAGGAAGGAGACTTATCATTACCTGCATTAAAAAAAAATAAGGGTCCCTGGTGGCCTAGGGGCTAAGTTTCAGTGCTGTCACTACTGCGGCCTGAGTTTAATTCTCAAGTAGGGGGCTGACCCACATGGCGTAGCAGACCTCCTATCTCCTCCTCCCCTCAGCAGTGTATTTCAGTAGATCCACCTGTTCTGCTCCCTACTCTGTCTCTGGGGAGTCCTCTCATTCCTGCCCCCCGCCCCACCCCCACACACTCTCTGGCCTACACTCTAGTTCTTCTACACCAAAAAAAAAAAAAAAAAGCATCTTTCCAAGGTGATTCCTACCCTGCTCTGAGTCAAGACTCAGAAAGGGACATAAAAGGTTCCAAGGAGCTTAGGTATGAAAAGACTCCACTGCTAGTCCAAGAGGGCGTGGGGCGCTGTGTAGACAACTGGCCTGACCTTGCAAAGGGGACAGGCAGGGGAAGAAAGTCAGGAGGCAGGGACACTGCAGGGCAGGGAGAATAAAGCAGAGACTTGAATTCCACTTACAGAGACCTCAGAGTGGACGTCATTTTCCTTTGCAATCGCATTTCTGAAGGTTTCATTTCTCTGATGGAAAGCATCAATGGTCTCTTGAAGGGCCTAGAGTGGGAATGGAATTCAAGCAGTTGATCAGACAAACATCTGTGATGGGAATCGCTTTAGAAATCAAATGATCTTGGGCCTCCCCAGTGGCGCAGCGGGTTGAGCGCAGCACTGTGAAGCTGTCTGCAGCCTCTGCAGCACTGGTTCTACTCCCTTCCTGCCAGGGAGATTCCCATATGGCGCGGCAGACCTCTTCTGTCTCGCCCACTGCTCCCCTCAGCAGTGTATTTCAGTCCTTCTGCCTGTTCTGCTCCCTGCTCTGTCTCTAGTGAATTCTCTCACCCTCCCATGCCTCTGGCCTGTACCCCAGCGCTTGTATAAATAAATAAATCTTAAAAAAAAAAAAAGAAATTAAATGATCTTATTCTGAGGACACACGTGAAACCGGCACAGTGACACACAGGCACACATGTGTCCATGGACAGAGGGCACAGGGAGACAGAAACAGAAGCCAGGCTTACCTTGATCCACTCTTCTTTGTCTTGCTCAGAACTAAAACAAAACAAAATTAAGGTGAAGGCAGCTTTCTGGAACATTCAGGGATGTTTGGGAAGGAGTTACAATCAAAATGAAACAATTTCTGGCAACTGAACAAGTAAATTCCTTAATAGTCTTTTACGACCATCCACCTACTTGGGTATGCATGGCTTTTGATGGGGCGGGTTTGGTGTCCATTAATTTGTGGCTAAACAGCCTGCCAACAACGAACTAGCGGTATAAGCCAGGTAACTCCAAGACCTGGCTTTGGCCTCCATACACAGCTGACTCCCATTGTGAAGGCTGACAGTCATAGGCCGTCTTGGAAAAGATGACAATTATCCCTCAGAATCTCCAATATCTTTGCCAGGCCTCGGGGAGCTATTCAGCATTTCCTGGGATAAACAAGCTAATTTTATTTTCCTAGGAACCTTCAGGCCATGCCATACACGACCCACTAAAGATAAGGCAAAAAGGAAACATGTTAAATGCCTGCAGGAAGGAAGTTTCACAGATTAATGGGCCCTGGTATTTAATACATTTTCTGTTGGGCAAAATTTTCCTTAACAATCATCAAGTACCCAGTTTTCCTGTTGCAGCAAGTTTTCTTTATTTCATCTCCTTTGCCGGAAGCTTATGTAGCTGGCTGTTGTTAAATTGAAAAAACCCCTCTAGTTGACTCTGGATGACAATCTTCAAAGTGAGAGACTCTGGGGGCCATGGAGGGCAGGCTACTCCTGCCTGCATGTGTTTATCCTTTAAGGCTAACTTGAAGTTCGAGTTGGAAGCCATGAGTCCCATTCACACAAGGGTACCCCAGGCTGAGTCAGGCTGGAGGTCTGCTCCTGAGACATCTCCCATCCTCCCCAAAATTGTTCCTGAGTGCTAAATGTCAGGATAAACACCTGCCAAGTAAGGTGCTTACTGTTCACTGGAGAGCCCTGGACCAAGAACCTCGGGGGCTCCAAACTGATACCCCACAAAAGAGCTCTTCCTCCTGTTGTGCCTGCCCCTCCTATACCCCTCAGTTCATTTGCCCTAGAAGCGGAGTCATTCACTGCATTTACATGCAGATACTAGGTAAGCCTGTAGAGTTGCTTTTTCATCATCATGGCAGAGATTTTTTGCTCTTTTAATAAAAAAAGTTGCTTGTATTTTTAATAGCCTCTGAATAAAAATGATAGGAAACAATACTTTCTATCCTTGCAAACATGGAAGAGGAAGCAGAGGGTGAGAGGTCAGTCTTGAGGCTGATTACCCAGTGAGAAAGGCAGAAGGCTTTCTTCACAGTTGCTTTCAGAAGTGAGTCTTTTAAAAACATCTACAGGGCCTCCCCGGTGGCGCAGCGGTTGAGCGCTGGGTTGCGAAGCTGCCCGCGGCGTCTGCGGCGCCAGTTCGATCCCCGGCTGCTCCCCGGCCACTGGAGGAGGATCCCACATGGTGCGCAGACCTCTCCTGCCGCCCGCTGCTTCCTTCAGCAGTGTACTTCGGTCCTTCTGCCTGCTCTGCTCCCTGCTCTGGCTCTGGTGAAATCTCTCACCCTCCCGCGCTTCTGACTGTACCCAGTGCTTGTATAAATAAATAAATAAATAAATAAATCTTAAAAAAAAATAAATAAAACAATAAAAACATCTACAAACATATACCTGCCTTTTGTTTCCAAGCAACACCTCTAACACCCTGACTTTCTGGGACCTTCCGGGCCTGTCTCCATTCTTGAAAGAATAATTGTGAGTGGAAGGTAATTGCAGAGTTCAGAAGGCCTGTTCACCATGGAACCTTGGCTCGAACTACAGCAACGAGATGAGGGGCAGGAGAAACATAAGGAGAACCAGCTGCTTCCACTGCTCATGGGAATGCAGCCAGGGCTGGGCACACGGTGACAACCGCCTGCGCTTCAGGAACTTCCTCACTAAGCAGGCCCATCCTGTGGATGAAACAGCCCAGCCTGCTATGGGGGGCTGGGGTTCCCCTTCAGGGGCCCCATGTCCCCTGCTGAGCTCTCTTCTGCCATCCAGATTGCAGACAGCAGTGCCAGCAGTGCCTGTGTCCTTCTGCAGTACAGACAGACCCTCTCTGGAGGAGAGAAGCACGGATGAGCCCATCAGGGCCAGATGCAGGGAGCGAGCCCTGGGTCAGGGGCTCCCATTCACACGTGCATACCCTTCCTCGGGTGTGCAGACCCGGCTCAAATCCCACCACAGAAGGAGGACCAGGCCTCCAAAAACCAAAGCCTGTTGCACCTCAGCTCCCGCGGGAAGCAGGGGCCAGTCCTGGGAGACCCACGATACGCCTGGCTCAGCGCACACTTTTTTGTGGGAAACTATAGAGAACTGTGTTTTCTTCGGACTTTCCCTGCCCGCTGTGACTTCCACGAGTAGGATTTCTCCAAACTACCCTTCCCCCCCCATCCTCCAGGCAGATTCCTGCTAATGTGTCTTTTGAAGGACTGAAGTTTACATTCTGAAGTTCCTAGGGAGAAAGAACCAGAGGAGTGCATCTGGGCCATGAGACCCCAGGGCCAGATCAGTGCAAAGAGCAGAGGGCTCTTGGGACACCTCCATCGGCGGCCCTAGGGGACTGGAGCCCATAGAGCCGGTGGGTACTTGATCCTCTGCTGTGCGACCTTCATGGGGATCCTACTTCCTCCACACTATGCCTTTTCAGGGTAAATGGAGGCGCACCCCCTAAAACAAACCATATGAAGCATGACCACACTGTCTTCAGATTGGCACGTGAGCTTACGCCATGGACTGCTGGGCCTCAGGCCTTCTCAAAACTGGCTCTGTGGGGAAAGTTTAGCCAGAGCGCCAGCCCTTCCTCTCCCACTCAGCAAAGAATCTAAGAGTCTCCCCTCCCCCAAAATCCAGCTGCTAGTGGTTACGGGAAACCCAGATGTCCCTCCTGTAGCCTCAACTGTCACAGGAGAATCTTGGCTTTTCCACCCTGCCTTCCCCCATGTTCTCCCCATCTGATGTCCTGAAGTCCCACGAGTGCAGGACAGGCTCGGGAGGACAGATGGTGAAAGCGTCAGTATCCAGCACAGAATTATCAACATCAATCTACGTCTGTAAACCAGAAAAAAGGGCAGAGGGAGAAAGGTGGGGGGACCTTTTCCTACAGGACTCAAAACGCTGGTTTGACTGCAACAGCTGCATCCTCTTAAGCCCCAGCCCAGCATGCTGAGTGCTCATGCTGAAGACCAGTCTGCCCTCTAGGCATGTGAGGGGATCCAGAGAGAAGACTCAACCCTTGCTTGCTCCCACCAGCACCCAGAGGGCTGCATGTCCCAGGGAGAGGCCACAGGGCCGCCCTGCCCCACTCTTTGCTCTGCTGCATGGCCAGTGGGCTGGGACATCCCTTACCTGGCTTGTAGTTCCAGCGTCCGCTCCTTCCCAGACACCTGGAACGTGTGCGGGTATTCCTCATTGTGAGTCTCAATGATTTTCATTCCATCGAGGCCAACTCTGTTGCGAACTGTGAACTTGGAGCCCACCAGGCTGAACCTTGGCACGCAGTACAGCAGCATGTTGTTGAACTGCAGGGCAGAGCAGGTGTTAGCTCGGGGGCCAAGGACAGGAGACACCGTTGTCACCGCCTCCCAGGGTTCCAAGGTGTTTCTGAGGATCGTCGGGCTTAGGTGAGTAAAATGATCGAAGTGCTACAGCTTATGCCCATGTCAAAATGACCATATTCTTATAGTTTTGACACTTTTCCGGTGGTTGGTTCATAAATATCTTACCGATATTTCAGTATACTGATCATAATTTTGTGCTAGTAAGGAAATGAGTGTGATTGAATTCCAGCAACAATTTAGGAAGGGCATTCTGTTCTTTTTCAGAGGAAGCTCCATGTCAGTGGCTACTTGTGTGTCCATGGGATGGGGTGAGCACAGGGCACTCCCCACCCCTCCCCCTGTTACCCTCTCCCTCACTCCTGATTAAGATCCTTCTGGGCTCCAAGCTTTCTAAGTATGGACTCAAAACCTAAACAGCACAGTTTCTAATTGTTGTGTCTCAGAGAGCGAGTTTACAGAAGCTATGAGAGGAAAAGAGTAATTAAAGTTCAGTGTTTATTTTATCACTGTGTTTCATGTCAGATTTAAAAACAGCCAAACTCTGAACTTACATTTCATTAGAACAAAGGGGGGTTAGCTAGATCCCACATAAAAACGGAAGTCACTGTTTGATACTGGATATGTTTTATACGGTCCCAAATCTTGCTTCAGATTTGACTGTGTATGCAGGGAGTCTCTACAGATGCTCTGTGCAATATTTACTTAAAAATGAAGGGGTTGGTGTTGACCTGAATCAGGGAGGCCCAGCACCTTCTTTATCTCCAAGAAGAGGCCCTGCTGATGGAAGCCCAGCACAGATTTGGGGAGGGCATTAGTTTACTTTTGAGTATGACTTGCCAAAGGACAAAAGCCTAAACATCTGGGCCAATTGGTAGGCTGATTCCTAAAAGAAGGACCATACTTATCTTGATACTTCTCATTTTTGTTTTTTACATTGTTTCCAAGGGCTACATATATTTTCCTAAGAGGAGCCACTGGAACACAACCCCATACCCTACATAGCCTCTTCCACGTCTCAGGACCATTACCTGCAGGGCACAGGTAGTTGAGAGAACTTGGGAGGAAAGTGCCTGTCCTGTAGGCTCTCTGTGGGCTCCACACTGCCATGAAGATAAGGAGTGTCCCCGGCGACTTAAAACATTTCAATGTGCTTATGCAACACTGTCCACTGTCCTTGCTTTGGTAGCAAATTTCTCACTAGCTGTTTCCTGTGCCCCCTTTTACAATTTCTTGTGACCAGGGTCATAGATCTCATGTCCACACTGGACAACATAGAAATCATAGGGCACTAATGGCGTCTTATCAGATGTCGCTCAGCACCTCATCTTGAGGCCACGCTTTGGGGAAGGGACACGGCATCTTATCGTCTATGGTGTGCTGTGTTCCTGAGGCAGTCAGCCTCAAGATGGTGCTCAGAATTTAGAGACTGGAAAAGAAACACTGCCCTCCCAGACCAAAGTGGCAGGCTGCCCAGGTCACCCCCTTTCACCACCCATCTAAGGAGGAGCACAGCCAAGGCTGGGCGTGGCTGAAGCCAGAGGGCTGTACCACGCTGGCCAGAGCCGACACTTTTGAGACAGCAGCTGTACAGCCCTGTATTTTGCTAATGGAATGACAAATGGATGTTAGGACATAAAACTTTTGAGTTATGAGATACTTGTCCTCCAGTTCAGCCAACGCTTGATGGTTTTAGAAACAAAGATTCAAGAGTCTAAAGTATACACATTTGCCTTTGTAATTATGCCCATACTAGGTAACAGACTACCTTAGAATCACATTTCTCTTTCCTCTTCATGCCTCTAGAACCACATTTCCCCATGACACAGAGACATTCTTACCAAGTGGGGCTTTGCCTTCTAAGTTATCAACACCTACATATTAATCTTACATAATCCAATCACATACTGAGGCTTGTCAATAAATATCACTTCTCCCTAGAAGGGGAAAGTGCTTGCAGGATACAAAATCCTGCTTATAAAGCAGACACCACACATAAAAAGCCAGGCCTCCAGCCCTGTTTCCTGCGTGGAGCAAAAGCCTGCACCACCACCTTCTCACTGGCTTTCCGCTGGTACCGACTAAGGAGGTAAAGCGTTTTCCCTTCCATGCAGAGCAGCCACTTCCAGTTACTGAGAAAGTCCTTAGCTGGCAAGGCAGCTGTAGGCATGCTGGGGGTGATGCTAAAATGCAGACACTGAGAATTTAGGGAGTCCCCCTCTAGCTGGCCAGTGTTCCCCAACTACAAGTCTCTTAAAATGTGTTTTAAGACTGAATGTCTCACCTGTGTCAATTTCATCAAGTTTGTTTGAGAAGGCAAATGTATTTATCAATGCCTTTGTATCAATTCTTTTTACACACACACACACACACATACACTTTTGCATCAAGTATAATATCCACTGCTCCCATATTCAAAGTTTAGTAAGTTGGGAAAAATCTGCCAGTTACAAGGAAAGAAGAAAATGGATCCTAGAGGGACTAGAACAGACCCTCCTGGGGACCTTGCTATGGGGAAATTTGGGTATTTTGAAAAACTTGTAGATATGGCTACTTAAGATGTGGCTTTGAGCCAGCAGTGTGCCCACATGACAAAGTCAGAGGCAGTGGACCCATGGGGAATCAGTTCTAAATACAGCTGGCCTTTCAGACAAATGTTTCTTTTTAGATACAAAGGGAAAGAAAAATGAGAATTATGGCATTTCTGCATATGAAGAAACCTGGCACGCGGGGATCAGGTGTGCTGTACTGGAAGGGAGGGGCTGTGACTGTCATGGGGAGGGGGTGGGGAGTGAGTGACCAGGATGGGACATGGGAAGCAATGGCATGGCGTGAGGGCAAGACAGGCATGTCCTCAGTCACACCACTGTGTCCCCAGGCCCCGGCCATCATCCTCCAGCCTGCTGCTTTATTTGACTAGATTGAAGTTTCACTTAAAACTATTTCCAGATTTCACCCACAACTATTTCACCTTTGAAAACTATTTCAAACATAAAAATTGAAACCAAGGCAACTTCAGATATAGAGTTAAAAGTTTAATGATAGAGACTGAAATGCCAGTGTGGGAGAAGGGGAAAGAAAATGACCTCAGCAACTACAAGAAAATGAAGAGGAAGGGAAGAAAGGGACTCACGGGCATTTTGCTCAGACTAGTGTCTTTAACATGTGGTTTCAATGCTTTTGCTGCCTCTGGAGGGACTGCCCTCTCAGGATTACTCAGTTCCTAGCCATGGTGAATAACTCGCCCACAAGATGCTTGTCGTGTGGGAACCAGTCACTCCAGACCCTACGCCTCAGCCTCCTCCCATGCTCTTATAATCTGGACCAACATCCCCCTGCTCTCATCTTGGCTGGGCCAGGTGGCAGACAACAGCCCCACTGCCCAGGCCTGGTAATATTATTTAAACAAGTCAGTCCTGTTTTGCTGGCCTCAAGCCTGGTCCATCCAGCAGGGACCACGAGAAGGCTCTTGCCATGTTTCATACCTGCTGCCCCTGCCTCCTGCTGGACCCTGGTGCTCCTGTCAGTAGCTTTTCATATTCATGCCAGAATCATTCATAATAACCCCCAAGTGGAAACAATCAAAATACCCATCATGGGGTATATTCACAAAGTAGAAGATTACATAGCAATTAAAAGGAACAAAATACTAGTACCTGCTAATTGTGTTAGGTGAAAAAAGCCATTCAGAAAAGGCCAATACTACATGGTTCAATTTATATGAAATGCCCAGAACGGACATATGCTGAGAGGCATAGCCCATCACTAGCTTTTGATGGCAATCACCTGCTAAGCTGCTGATCTCACCATGCCTGAAGAATAAATCCTACATTTTGAAATAAACAGGCCTCTGAACCCTGACCTCCTGTCGTATGTCCTCAATTTATAGTTAGGTCTCTGTATAATCTCTAAAATGTCATGTACTTCTGTTAAGCTTAAATGAATATTTTTACAGTCAACTTGGACAGTAACTGTCCATTTTTAAAGTTATTAAGCTATAACTCACATACCATACAATTTAGTATAGTTGTAAAGTGTATAACCATCACCGTCATCTAATTCCAGAACATCTCAAAAATCTGAAAGGAAACCCTATATCCACTTCCTTCCCAGCAGAAGCCCTAGACAACTATCCCTTCTCCCCTGCCTCTCTGCATATGCCCGTTCTGGGCATTTCACATAAATGGAACCATACACTATCAACCTTTTTCTGAATGGCTTTTTTCACTTAACACAAAGTTTATCCAATTAGCAGGTATTAGTATTTTATTCCTTTTCATTGTTGTGTAATATTCCACTGCATGGATGTACCCCATGATGGGTATTTTGATTGTTTCTACTTGTGTGTTATTGTCAGTAATTCCGGCATGAACAGTCACATGCAAGGTTTGGTGTAGATGTATGTTTTCAATTTTCTTGAGTTGTACATACTTGGAACAGAACTGCTAGGTTGTATAGTAGCCAAATGTTCTTTTTTTAAATTAGACTTATCCCCCTATGCATGATAATTAGTGTCCATCCATTCTCCTCTCTAGGGAGGCACTAAGCAAAAGACAGAAACCACTATGGCACCTCTGAGGTGACCCGCCTAGAGCAGAAAGTCAGACGTCAGCTGCCTGCTGAGATGCTGCAGTCTCTGGGCAGCCCCTTAACCAACCTGTCTCTGTCTTAACTTTAATGAGAGCTAACAGCTACTGAGCCCATACTCGGTGCTAGCGGACTGTTGCTCAGCGTCAGCTATTACGATTACCACCGTATCACTGGAGAAAGGAAGTGGATTTAACAGAAACCAGCAATACAATGGCCTGAGGCCCCTGGAAAAGCTTTCCCACTTGAGGTCAGTGAGGCTAACTGTCTTCTCCAGGCAGTGAGGGGAGGACTGGCGCAGTGGGAAGGGCGGCACATCCGACTGGGCTTTACAGAGACATGGCAGGCTGGAGTTTACAACCTAGAAACATTACGAGCAGGGACAGAGGGCATCAGGACAAGAACAGTGGGCAGGAAATTGCATCTGGCAAAGTGGTCAGGAAATGACACCCATTAGCGTGTAAGGGTGAAAGGAAGGAGAAAACCTGGATCCAGGAGGGTTTCAGAAAGCCTGTCCCTCCCTGCACTGATTGATGGCTATGAGCAAAGGGGAACCTGTCTTTGGTCCATGTTACTAAAATTAATTCCAGGGAAGAACAGGGGAAAATGGCAGAACAATACTTAAAGAGATGAGTCCTCAAGAGAACTTGGGGTCACAGGGAATCCTGACAGCATTGACCAGACCAAGTGAGACAGAGCTGAATGGTCTGACATCCAAGAATTCATCTTGCACGACCTGTTGCACTCTGGTACTTACCAGGTACAGGTATCGCTCCTGGGCTGATGTGTTTCTAGCCGCAAGCTTGAGGATCTGCCCTTCTTTTATGAGTTCATTGGAAGGGTTGACAATGTCTTCTTCTTCTCCCAACATCTCATAAATCTCTAAGAGTTTCTTTAGGTTCTCCTATGAAATTCAAACAAAACACAGCAAGATCAAATACTGGGAGGTTTCACCTGGAGGCTTGAATAATGTGACCTTAGCTAATGTCTGGCGACTTCAGAAAGGATTGGGGATAAGTATACATTTTGTATAAAATGCTTCAGTTATGAGTAAGTTGGAACCTGGAGAAGTGGGGAGAGGATGGATCTGGATGACACCCAACATCTGCTAAACCCTCTTCTGGCTCACCTGCAACTCCTTTTGGTTCAAACCTGCAGGTGACATTGGGGTATACTACTGACATGCATAACTAGAAGATTCCCAGTTCCTTCGAAACCACTTACCATTTTTCTTATTGCACTGTTCGAATGGCTTGCTGCTGTAGATATAATTTCAAGTGATTCTAAATGGGAAGAGAGAAAAGCAAATAAACGCAGTTTGTCCTCACCAGGCCACCGGGTAGCTAAACACACATAAGAAGGAGCCAGACACATGGCTAACAGCAGGGCCAATTTTCCTTTACAAACTGGGTCCTTTCAGTTCGTTTGTAAGCAGATTTCCTGGAACTTGAAGGGCTGTTTCCTCATAAAAATTCAGACATAATGATCAGACTCATGGGGATATGAAATTCACAAGGACCTTCTAAATCCACAAGCCCGGTGTCCCCTAATTCGGTAAGAGGCACACTGCCAGGGCTTTTAGATACATTATGTCAAATAATTTTTATGCAGCCTTAAATGGAAAATACATGTGCTCCCTTTGGCAGATGGAAGGAATGGAGATGTGGCTTGGCTGTGATCACTCCACTCTGAAGTGTCGAGCGAGGCCTTCAGACTCAAAGCCAGGCCACGTCTCAGCAGCACTGATCACCTTTCCAGTTCTATGAGCCACGGAACCAACCAGTGTCACCCGCTTTTTCTGGGAAAACGCAAGCATCTATCATGGGTCAGGTGAAAGGAAACCTTCAGGGCCAATGGTGTGGGTGGGTTTTGTCGTGGGGCTGGTGGCAGTGAGAGCCAGGGAGGTCGTCTTTGTGGGAAGGAGGCAGGAGTTCTGGGTTGGCTGTGGAGGCTCTTGGGCCTAGGTCATGCCCTGCTACTTCCTTCCTTTTCTCTCTTGTGAATACTGGCCTGCTCAGTTCTGTCACCCTAGCAACCTCATTACTCCTGGACCCAATTTTCTGCTTTTGTTCCACTGTGGAACAGAATGTGCTTTGGTTGCTTTCTCTTCTGCTTTCAGGGCTCTAAGGTACTTCTGAGATTTCCTTAGAATTTGAGCATCGTTAGCAATGGTAAACCAGAGAAAGGAGAGAGTGACCAACCAACACTGCCAACTTCCTCATTTCTGACAGAGGCACTGCAGAGAAAGGCCATGTCTTTGCATTTGGAAGGACTGACTTTCTATTTGCATTTTAGAGAACAATCCTGATGTGGGCAATTCTGTTGGTTTCCTAGAGAACCTAAGGGAGAGGGCAACAGAATGGGCCGGGTGGGCCCCTAGCCCAAAGCAGAGGCCAGCTTGAGGGGCGCTGGCAGCAATCCCACTTCACCCCACCTCCAAAACCAGGCAGCCAGACAGATGAGCGGAGAGGAGTATGAAGGGCGACATGGAGGAGGGCAGGTCAGGGTAATCCTAAACGAGAGAGAGAGAGAGAGAGAGAGAGAGAGAGAGAGAGAGAGAGAGAGAGAAAGAGAGAGAAAACAATCCCTGGCCAGCAGCTCTTGAAGGGCCAGAGAATCGTCTCAGGGACAAAGATTCAGCTTCCGAGACAAAAGATGTGCTCTGGGTCCTCACCCCTTCCCCAGGGTCACATCTGAAAAAAGCAACACAGGGGCTTCCCTGGTAGCACAAGGGGTTAAGACGTGGCACTATGAAGCTATCTGTAGCATGGAGTGCACAAGTTTGATCCCCAGCTAGGGAGATGACCCACATGGCGCAGCAGACCTCTCCTGACTCGCCTGCTGCTGTGGATTTCAGTCAATCCACCTGTTCTGTTCCCCACTCTGTCTCTAGTGAATCCTCTTACCTCCCCATACCTCTGGCCTGTACCCCAGTTCTTGTATGCATAAATAAATAAATCTTTTTTTTTTTTTTAAAAAAGGCAAGACATTATCTAGGGAAGCAGTAATGGTTGAAGCTTGAACACCAATACAGTTGGGCCCTGTGAATACCAAGCCATTTTTAGTACATTTTCATCACAGTTAATTGATTTTTTTTAAGTAAATGAGAAAGCTAAAGTATTATTGACACTCAGAGCCTTAAAAACACTTTCATTATAACCTAATGAAAAAATGAAAGCCACTGACAGAGTCAAGCATCCTCTGGGATAATGTCAGCCCAGACAAAGCAACACCATTCTATCTTCGGTCCTGTGGTCAATGGGGTGATTCTGCGTGGCTATTTCTACACAGTAAATGCCATTGAGCATTCCTGGGAGGAACTAGCCCTTCTAACTAACCAGCAGCGCCATCACTCTGAATGGCTGCTTTCTCCTTGTGAGAAGGTAAGCATGTGTCGCTATTCCCCTGCTCTCTGACACTGCGGATTTAGATTCCGAGTCAATGACTGATGCGAATCTGACTTGCCTTGCTCAGAACCTGAGATTTGGGTCCCCAGGTGCTCACTATGCTGGGCTGTTTCGGGGATCAGTGCTTCCCTGCAGTGGCTGTCAGACATGGCTTTGAAACTGGCTGCCACTGGCTACATCACAATTCCACAGGCCGGAGGGTGGCAGGCGGGGGGCACTCACTCTTAGCATCACCCCAGTCGGCAGACTCAGGGGGCAGTTTCCGCAGGTAGTCCTTGAGGAGCAGCTCGTAGCGGGGGATGCGCTGCACGGGCTCCAGCATGTGGTGCTGCAGTGTCAGGCTCCCACAGACCTTCTGCTTCTGTAACAAGAACCAGCATTAAAGAAAGTTAAAGACGAGCCTGGCCAGCCTCACAGCTCCTGCGGCAAGGTCTCTCAGCAGGGGGCCGTGTCTCCTTACATGTGTGTTGGGGCCTGAGGCATGTCTGGGGTGCTGTTGAAGGCACAAATTCAAAGCTCTACCCCAACCTATGAAACAAAAAGCTCTGGGGCCAGAGCCTGAGACAGTAACAATGACATCGACCTTTGAGGACAAGCAATCCAGAGCAAAAGCAGGACAGAATAGTTGGCGGAATTTTAAGCAAGAACATTCCAGAATGCTGGAACCACTTCAATTAGGCACCATAAGGGTTTGTGAGGTCATGTTATTAAATCTTACTCCAGAGATTTTCAACAGAAGCATCTACTTAATGATATTCACTGAGGCCATTTGTGTTAAGTGACTTTGACCTCAGCAGAAACCATTTCATAATAAGGTGACCATAAATGCCATTTCCTCTGAGCTTCAGAAAGATTCCACACAGAACAATGGCATGATCTGGGCAGCCTACTGTGTGGCAGGAGATTTAAATTATTCATTAGGCCATGGCCTTCAGTCTTATCAGAAAGTAAACTCTATAAAGAGAGTTTCCTTTCTGCAGGTAAATGGAGTCTGTGGCATTTGCTTTCAATGAGCTTTGAACACGACAAATTAGATGTGCTCTTGCTCATACTAAGCAAGGAGAAATCCCACAAAGACACTCACTGACTTCTCTGTGATCAGGTAAAAGGGGCGGCAAGACTCAGTCCTCACCTTTAAAGCAAACAAACTACAGACTTCACAGAGGAGGACATGAAGCTGAGCTCTGAGGATCTGTGCTTGACAGGAGGGCAGTGGGGGCAGGGAGAGGGGCCAGAAGTCAGGACCAGAAGTCACCAGCATTGGGTATGAAACAAATGTCCAGTGAAATGAAGCAGATGGGCTTTGTTGCAAATACAATATCCACAAGAGTTCGGACTGAGGAATACAAGATAATGTGGGGTAATAACATCAGGCTGAGCTTAGACCTATCTCGTCCATGGCAGGTTTTCACTTGTTATCTCGAGATTTGAGCTTCAGTAGACTAAGCAAGGGCCGGGGCCTCCAGGGAGCCGGGGGTGGCTGGTGTGGCACCCTCACTGCAGGCCGGGACAAGAGCCAGAGGGCCTGCAAGCAGTGTTGGGGCTGAAGGCCAACAGCTTTCCTTAAAAATACACAAATGTCCAAGTTGTAAGTTTAGTTCTCCCTTCTGACTTTCTCCACCACAAATCTGTTGCGAGCTTGTGGTTCTCCATCTAAACCTGTCTTTTGACACTTGTTTATCTCCAGGAAATGACACAGAGGCCCGAATTCACACCTGAAGGGTCTGTGGTTCAAAAGCCAGGTGTGTTTTCTAGGGTAATGAGACACTAAGGGGCAGGTGAGGATTCTAAACTAGAGAATGAGGTCAGCAGGTCCCTGACCCCTGACCCACTGGCCATCACCCCCTCATGGGCCAGAAGACAGACTCTGCAGACAAAATTTCTGATGTGAGCCTCACCCTCCAACAGGCCCAAGCCAGGTGCCCTGAACATGCTGCCTTATGGGTGGACACATTGGCAGAATGAGAAGTGGTGACAGGGAGAGGCTGTGCTGACCAGCTCCAGTGTGTGGGAGAACAGTGCAGTGACAGGTTGAGCAAAATCAGCCAGAAGGCAAAACATGGTACCAGTAGAATACAAGTAACCAAAGAAAACAAACCTGCAGAACAACAGTAATTTTGGACTCTGTATAAAATATACTGGTTACAGAGGGGATTGGGGTGGGGTACTGGCAGGACATTGGCCCTAGGCCCTGCTGGGAGCTCAATAGCCCTGTGAGAGCTACCTGTGGAGCAGACAGAGGGCCTCCCTCACAAGCCGGGATCACACATAAACATTAGGCTATTCAACCCTTAATCTGAGTAGGCCATTAACAACTGCACAGCAGAGGGCAGGTTTGGTGCCTCAAGTTAGCAGACAAACTGAAGGGACCAAAACAATTCTCAGTGGGAAAAGAGGACCTGAGTGGCTACAGTTATCTCAAATGTCCAAGAGTCAACAAAACATTGAGACATTCAAAAGATGGCACAGCATTGCCTGCATGCTCAGACACCATGAGAGCACTTTGGATAGTTGAACGTACCCTGTAACTAGATTAGTGTCTCAGACCTCTCTGTGTAAACACTAGATCTAGAAGACCTTGTGGTATAACTGGGGACATGTTTATTCTTGAAGGAAAAGTTCTGTTACCTGAATTTCTTCAACCACCGATTTGAACTGGGGGATACGCTCTGTCATGTTTTTGACCAATTCCATCGCATTGTCGAATCCTTTCACATATTCTCCATACATCTTAAGGAACGGGGCCAATTTCTGAAGGATGTCGCCAATTCTAGGGGTAGTTTCCCTGCAGAAAATACAGAAACAAAGACATTTAAGATTTTTATTGAATGAGGGAGCTGGACTCCAGACGAGTGATCATTTCTACACATGCCCTGAGCTGTATCAGGTCCGTTTGCCATGAGGCTGCTAGAGATTTTAGGACAGCACCACAGGGGACAGGCTATGAGGCTCCTGAGGCTCCTGACTGTCCCCAACATCTAGTCTCCACTTGTCAAAAGGAGATCTGGACAGCAGAGAGGAGACAATTTTCAACTAATGCCCAAAATGGATCACAACTATTTTTGTTCTGTTCTATGTGGTTTAAATTTTGTTTTAAATCAAATTTAATTGATTGACCATTTGTTTACAGATCTTGGCAAGACTTAGCAGAAACGTCAGGCCTCAACCCTGTGTGGCGGGGGGGGCTTCGTTTGACACTGACTAGCATGCATTGGGCGGGGCTGCCTTAGACAGGGCTTGCCATTTGCTCCTCTTACCATTCTTGCATTCGCTTCTCCAGCTCTGGCAATAGGAATTTACTATGGAAGGCATGTATTGACGCAATATTAGAAAAGATTTTATTCACCATCTCTGCTGGGAATGAGCCTCGGTTTGCTTCTTCCAATAGTTTGCAATAAAATACCTATACAAGAGAATAAAGCACACGTTACTTCAAGTGTACCCACTAAGCGCCTAGCATTGGTCTGGGCGTGTACTGGGTTCTCAAAGACTTTTGGTTGAAATGGTGGGAAAGTTCACAGTTTAAAAGTAAATCAGCCAATTTTGAAATGTAGGAGTGGGTCTATGGTTTGGTTCAGAAGAACCAGGAGTTAGAATAGGAAGCTCCAACTCTCACCTGGGCGGTGTGTCCACCTGTGGGTTGTAACCTGGTCTGGGCCAAAATGTGTCCACTGAGGTTGACAGAACTGGTCCTTCCTATCCCCAGCTAGAGTTAAGACATTTGGAAGAGGTCATGGGCAAACTGTCACTGGCCTTTTTCACTCCTCCTTATCTTTGAGTGACTTCCGCAGACTTATTATATGCTGCTTTTTATTGAAATTTGCTGGCATAAACGTCCGTTTTCCATTAACACCATGCTGGGCAGAGGAGGATGTGATGGTTTTGTTCCCACCTAGAAGAGGTGGTACTAAGTATACATCTGGTTTGAGTATTTCCATTCTCAGATGTTTTCTTGCTTTTTAATGAAGAGTAATGCCTGAGAACTTACCACCCTGCTGGGGGATACAAAGATCTCCCCCACACAGAGGCTGGTGTCCCCAGCAGCACTGCACAAGCTGCTGTGTCTGTGGCTGCCTGCTTGTTACACATGGCACGGGGTTGCTTCTTCCTAATGTTCAGACGGAAGTTCAGTATCTAAACTCACCTCCACTGCATTTTCTTGGGAGGCAAAAAACCACAAAATATCCTTAGAGACTGACAGAGAGGAGGCCATCATAACTAAGACTCAGATTATAAAGGTCAGCAAGAGTAGCTAAGAAGTGAATGAGGTTTTAAAAACGGAAGCAAAGAAAGACAGAAAGAAAACCCCTGATGAGAAGAAAAGGCAAAGCTACACTCTGGGAGGTGATGAACATCAGGCCTATGACCCCCGAGAGGAGGACAGAGGCCACTGGGTCCTGTCTTCACATGAACTGGTTGATGGACAGTGAAATTCTTTGGAAAGTGGGTATTTGAGCTGTGAACTTGTTATTTCAAAAACACAAGACTGAACCTGGCCCCCCAGGCACACGGTGGCAGGGACATGGCTCTGGGGACCAGTGACAAGGAGGTGTGCCAGGTCCCCAGGCTCACCTTCCAATTCCTACCATCACCACCCACGTGGAAACCTCCCCTAATCAGAAGTCTGTCTGTATTTGTGATCTACCAGTGCCTTGCCCTTTTATCAGGGAAAAAGGATTAAGGGGCTTTAATATCCAACAGTCATCCTTAGGACGCATCTAAAAACTTTCTTCGCACAGGGATATTTACCAAAAGAGAATATTTGAGATGACCCCCAAGACTGCACCTCAGGAAAGTATAAATCATGGTCAAGTGGTTTCTCTTGTTCAGCAGACATAGACTGTGTGGCTTGGTGTCCAGCCCACAGTGGCCCGAGGCTTAGCTCCTCACAGCTAGACAGCAAAGGGTCAGTGAGAATCGCGCTGTCCTCACTTCTGCTTCGGAATCACTGGTCTCTTGTTTGGACAAGAGCACACCAGTGTTTGTGGGAAAGACAGGCAGAAGTATGTGGATGCTTCACTCTGTTCTTTATGGAGTGTAAGACTTTTTAGCCTGTGAGTTCACGGACAGCTAAAAAAGCTACCAATTTCCGTGAGGAAGTAGCTTCAGTGGCTGATAACAGATCCTTCTCTGCAGTTTCTAAAACCCCTCAATTACTCTATTAAATGATGTACAATAGCAAAGAAAATAACACCGAGAGGGAACTATACCTGGTCTAAGAGGTCAAGTCGGCTGACATAAGCTCTTTCCGTAAGCAGAAGTTCATTGGCTATTTTGTGCAGTTTTTGCTCGTTCGTCTCCTAAAAACAGAACAGAAACTCACAGGTTAGGAAACAAAACCTGGCCAGTACTTCTCAAGTAATACATACTTTGGAACACCTGTCATTGTCTCAGTCCCAGCCATTCTGCTGGCCTCATTCCCTCTACCTCTTTCAGATACCTCATCTCGCTTAGATCCACACACGTAGCTCTCTGCCTTAAAAAATTATGGAAAATTTCAATCATAAAAAAGAGGAGACAGGGCCTCCCTGGTGGCGCAAAGGGTTGAGAAGCAGCACTATGAAGCTATCTGCAGCCACAGCAGCATGAGTTCAATCCCTGGCCAGGAAGGTTATCCACATGGCAAAGCAGACCTCTCCTGTTGTGCTCGCTGCTCCCCTCAGCAGTGTATTTCAGTCAGTATGCCTGTTCTGCTCCCCACTCTGCCTCTGGCAAATCCTCTTACCTCTCCACACCTCTGGCTTGTACCCCAGCTCTTGTATGCATAAATAAATAAATCTTTAAAAAAAAAAAGGAGACAAAACAGTAAACAGAGGCCTGGGTGCCATCCATCACTGAAATTCAAAAGCCACCATCTACTTGCTGTTAGTCCTGTGTACCGATGGCCCTACCCACAACCCCTACCCAAATTAATTTAAGTAAATCCAAATACTTTATTTCCTCAGCACATATTTATTTAACCCTTAGCTATACTTGTATAGCCTTGCTAGTTCCATGAGGGTAGGCTGTTTTTGCCTTGTTAGCTGCTCTGTGTTGTGTCCCCGGTGAGGCTTTGAAAGCCACGGCACTCGTGAAGGGCTGGAGGGGCACCCAACTTACATGGAGCTGGCAGACACCAGTGCCCCTCACACCATCACACCACAGTCCAAACATAGGTCTTCTGGGAACCCTTATCCCACACCCTGCCCCTCCACCCCGAGCTCTGTTATCCTGGTCATGCTCCATCCCTTTCCAGTTTTCTGGCTTTGGAATCCTGATTGCTTAAAAGCAGCTCCCACCAAGTTTTCACCAATGTTGCTAGACTCTGCTCATATCTGTCTCAAGTCCAGTCAGTCAGCAGTTGCCCATGTCCAGTCCAGTCCCACTGTCTTTCTTTCTCTTTTTTGTTTTGGGTGGGAGGGCTCCCATCTACCATCTGTGTCACTGTAAGAAGAGTTTTTCTGAAACTGTTATACCTGGATAATCTTCCTTGTCATAGAAAGAAAAGCCTTCTGCAACCCTTCCCTCACTAACACCACAAAATCCAGACATGGTGACACCCAGAGTTGTTGAAATCTCATCTCTAACTTTGTAAATTTCTTTCTCCTTGTCCCTGCACAGGGCACTCACCTCCCAGCACAGGGACATGCCCATGTGCTCCACTACGCCCCGGGCACTGCCCAGCCTCTCTCCTGTCATCCCTCTGCCTGGCGCATGCCCGTGCTGCCTCCCTCTTGGTGCTAAGATGCATTTCCCTCTTGGCTCCATTCCTTGTCTTCAAGCGCCCAAAGTCCTAGGGCTTGCTTCAACCAGAACGCATTTTATACTTTGCTCTGGAATATCTTTTCAGCAAGAAATTTCTAACTAGTAACTTTGCTGAAATACCCTTTCATTCTTGCAGAGCGTGAAGTGTAGCAAGACTTTAGGACAAACTCTTATACCAAAAAAGCCTAAAGTGTATTTTAAACTAGCATCTAATTTGTATACAAATGCTATGTTTTAAACTGTGTCACGTGCTAGGATGGTATATTATTCAACCTGCCTCTGCTTTGTACAGTGTCCCTCTGACATGCATTCTGCCTCGTTAGGGCTGCACTGAGATGAGGTATTTTTGTAGGAAGTCTTTAGGGAAAGCAACTCTTTAAATAATCTGTGGTCTCAGAAATACTGATGCAGTAACTATGTAGTCACAAATTCCTAACTAGCCAGGTTCTGACTTACCTGGTGGCCTACCTGCCTGGCATCTCCCCCCGATTTGATGATTTCCAGATGTGGTCAGTGCGTCCACCCCATTACCATGTAGCCTTTCCTTTGGGGACACAGACGCCCCTCCAGATTGGAAAGGGGCCCTGAATGAATCAAGAGTGCAGAGAAATTCCTCCATGAGGCAGAAAGGATATGCACTGGGACTTGGAAAATGAGTCTCCCTCATTTCAAGGAAGAATCATGGGAGAAGGCATCTTTCTTGGCTGCTCCCTGCAAGTGCAGGCATGCAGGCTTGAGCACAGCACATGCCTCCCCGAGCAGATGGAGCAGGTAAGCTTCCTAAGGAAGTTGGACGAGTACCACCCATGTGAGCTGTGGCTAGAAGTAGCCTTATTAACAACAGGAAATTTAAATAATATGAAACACATGCACGAAGCTGAAAAATATTCAAGTCATTTTTAAACCATCACTACAGAGAAGAACGTAAAATACTTAATGGAATATTAATGTGACTTTCATTTAACCGTACAGTAACTACATAAGAGAGCTATCCACGGTTCAGGGAAAGAGTAATATTCTGGTCTTCGTACTCCCAGCAAACACTGACTTCCAACAACACTGCATGAGGGGGTGGGAGGGTGGGGTGTGTGTGTGTGTGTGTGTCTATAACTTTAAAACACTTTTTGGGTAGAAGAACCGGGGTGCAGGCCAGAGGTATGAGTACTGGGGGTGAGAAGATTCACCAGAGACAGAGTGGGGAGCAGAACAGGTGGACTGACTGAAATCTACTGCTGAGGAGAGTAGCGAGGAGATTGGAGGGGTCTGCTGCACCCTATGTGGGTCAGTTCCCTGGCTATAGCAGGATAACGCTGAGACTTAACCTCTAGGCCACCAGGGAGGCCCCTGATCTGTAATTTACAAATAGTAAAATTCACCCTTCCTGGGGGACGGTTCTAGCACAAATACTAGCACAAATCACGCTACCACCACCACATCAAGACACAGAACAATTTTCCTCCGGTCCTCAGTAGTCAACATCACCTCACTCCCACCACCAGCTCCCAGGAAACACTCAGCTGCTCTTTTCCACTATGTGGGGTAAGTGGAGTCTCACAGCAGAACCTCTTTTAGTCTTGCCACTCTCACTTATCAGAAGGCATTTGTCATACCCCAGCTGGTGGCAAGGAACCTGACTCACTCACTCTCTTTTCTATGTTCTCATTCTAGTTCTGACGAATATCCTTAAATTAAAGAATGCAGCAGAGTTTGTGCCAGAACAAAATAATACCTCTTTCATAAGACAGAGAATTCATTAACCAGCAGGCTGTGGGTCTATTATTGCTCTACTAAGAAGTCATCCCAAAGGCTTCTATAACCCCTGGATCTTAAATAGGAGGCTTATAAGAAACCACCTTTTGCTGACTACAAATCACACTTCACTGAACTTGGCAAACTGTGGAATCTCTGGTAAGACTTTGCAAAGTTCAAGGGGGATGCCAGCAGTGACGAGAAAACTGTACTCTTCACATGGACGGTTGTGTAGCCCGAGACTCCTGACCTTGAGAAAGCAACATGCAGATAGGCAGGAGTAAGCTTGCTGATGTGGGCTTCAACCACTCACAACTTGTGCAAAGTTACCAGGCATTTTGCATGCCAGTGAAAAGATCTCGGACACCTAGAGCCTTGTTGAGGCTAATCACAAGAATAATAACATTGCTGTAATGGGAACAGCTAACACTCACTGCTGCTCAGGAGCCAGACAACATTGCGATAATCTGATACAAACTGACCCTGACAACTCTACAAAATAGGTGTTGTTATTATTCCTATTTTACAGGTAGCACACCTATGCACACAAACACACCCAAAACCCACAACACAACATTCTAGAGGCTCAAAGAGGCCAGGTACCTTGTCCAGTGCCAAACAGTTGAAGGGGACTGAATCTGACTTCAACCACAAAGAAGACGGTGTGATTTTAATAACTATTCAGTAAACAGTTGATTTTTTTTTGTAACCAAAAACAAGGTGGTAATTGCCTACCAACCGACGGACTAGTGAAACACAAGCTACCTGCTTAGTGAGGGAGTGTGGTATGACTATGCACTTGAATTTATTAGACATTCATTTTTTCCAACACAAAATCTATTTAAAGCAGATTTTTCAGGATTTTGGTTATAAAAAATTACCTTGTTCCTAGAACTCAAATATGAACACTTTTGGTAGGAATATAAGCTTGATCGTGCTGCGTGGGGCTTTGGATCTCTCTCTGGCTTATGTTGAGATAATGGACAGGGTAGTATTAAGATAGCTGGCACGTGCGGCCTTTGTTTTAAATGGTAAGAGTTAAAGAGGTAAAGTTGTACAATACTATGTGCTACTTCAAAATTCTATAATCTGTGCTTTGTGCCCAGCACAGTACTAAGAAGCCATTTATTCTTTAGGAAATAGTAATTGTCACATGATACTGATTTAATAAACAACCCTATTTTCTCCCACTGGAATCCAGGAATCTAATAAACAGACTTAATAAATCACTTTTTAAAGTGATTGTAATCATGCTGTTTAAAAGGAATCTCCCTTTTCATATCCCTCTATAAAATAAGGGATTGCCTTTTTGTTTTCACTTACAAATGTATGATCCTATATTCATAATGGAACCAGATTCCCAGAGCACTGCCTCAGCCTCAAATTAGAGAATAGCTAAATCACCAATCAGAAAAGAAAGAGTAAGTGCTAGCCAGTAAGGGATGATGACTTTCTTTTCCCTTTCTGCTTATGAAACTTTCTAGGCTCTCCCTGTGAGCCTTCTCCCTGCAGGCACCCAGAATGAAGCCAGGGGCATCCCCTCTGGGGTGAGGGCCATCCTGGTGCTAGCCTTGATGCCCACTGGCTATGCCTCTGTGAGTTTCCAGACACTCTGGCAGCCTGTCCATGAGACACCTGCACATGGCAGGAGCTGGGGCCACAAGCCCCCACAACAGCTCAGTTCATTAACTGGAGAGGTGGAAAACGCTGGTGTGGAGTCAGCCATTCACTTTCAAAATCTCAGTGCCAATTGTCTGGGCACACCCTTCAAAACCACCAAGCAGGGAAGTAGGCATGGGGAGGAATT